AAAAAAGACATTTTGGGGGAAATTTATCGAAACTGGAGCAGTTGCACACAGCAACTAATCGGTTTCTCTTTTTTTATTTTCAAAGCTCAAAATGAGGAGAGAAGCTGATTGGTTGCTATGGACAATTGCTCCAGATTATGCCTGCTCCAGTTTTGATAAATTCCCCCTTGTGTGTATTTAAATATACATTTATTGTATATATAGTTCTTTTGGAGTGTACGTCCAGCATGTAGTTGTAGTGAAGCATCCATATATACAGCATACATGTATATGAGTTTGTCTTTGATATATATCATTAACACATATATAATTTATGTCTGTGTGCATGCAGCCAGTAAAGCTCTTGTATAGGACCAGCCAGTGTGAAGATGTGACCAGAGAGTGAATGAGGGACCCCCCTCGCGGGAGCGCGCGCTCTTCCTTGTTGTCAGGCAGGTGAGAGAGCGCGCATTCCGCTCTGCTCACTAGAGAAGGTGGCAAATCCAACGTGAATGGCCCATAACATCAATGATTGGCTACCTCCAAACGAGGAACATCAAAAGACAGCTCGGGCCCAGAGGACGTAACATTTGCCGCAATAGGGCTCATGCATACAGCGTAATGAAATACGGATCATCTATACAGGAGAGTGCTGGCGGATGTTTCCTGCGTAAAAACAAAATGCATGAACTTAAATTTCTGCTTCCATGCCATTGCATTAAAGCTGGTACGTGTGTGCGTATATGCGTACGCGCGTCAATGACTGGCTTTGTTATTGCACCTGTAATAGTCGGTGGCTGGTGCTGCAGTTACAAGCGGATGGCACCGCACATATACCAAAGATAATATAAGTCACTGGCAACCCAATCTCCTAATCACTACAACTTTATTGACGCTTGTTCATAGTGTCACAAAGAAAAAGACATTTTGGGGCTACACAGGGTCCCTTCATCAGGCAAACAATGTGAACAATATTGGAGATCTGTTGATTTTGCGTTACGGTTCTGAACGTGGCGCATGTCTACATGGCTTTGTGAACATCCCCAATGAAGATAATACACCTGCGTTCAGTTCTGTAAACAAAAAACACTTTGCATTGTTTTTTTTTAATGGCTGTGTGTATGAGGCGATGGGTGTTGATCTGGCAAATGTGTTGGCGACGAATCTGCTTTTTACGGATCTGAGGGAAAATTTTTTATGGATCTGCATGTTCATATACTTCCCCAACTAAGATTTTTTTTTTTTTTAATGGCCATGTGCATGAGGTCTAACTGTGTGGCGATGGGTCTCCATCTGGCGAATGTGTTGGTGACGAATCTGCTGTGAACGACCTGATAGCAAATGCTCATCAAACCGATCATTGGACTCTTAGTAAATACGCTTCTATGATACTCAGACCTGTGTCTACCCCAATTCACATACTCACCCACCCAGTGAATCCAGAGTTGTCCTGCATTGTGCTGCCACACACCGAGTGCCGCTCTGCCATCTTCTTCTTCCCTGACCTCATTGGGAGCAGTCTGTGCTGCAAGGCCCAACTTCCACCTCTGATCACTGTATGGAAGCCGATGCATCCCGGATATGTGCCGTGCATGCCCCAGAAGGAAAGGACGTCATTCTTCCCTAGGTGACAATGGAGGACGGGGAAAGAGTCACAAGGTGAATAATAAAAAATAAAGGTCAACAAACAAACAAAAAAAAAAGAGGTGGATTTTCATACATGATTCTGAGCTGTTACATGCACATAGTGATGTAGGGGCCTAACCAAATGCTGACTGTCTGCTTTCGGAGGGGGGGCACATGTAGCCGCTCAGATAGGCGTATATATATGTGTGCAGCCGCTGCCTGCCATACACTGTATGCTGCCCTTGTCACGCTTGGCGGAGGAAAATACGGCCATACTGTGCGCTGTACGGCCATTTACATCAATGTGCATGAGCCCTAAGAGGGCAATACCCCTCACCTTAGGAGATTGTTCAGGTTCTGTTGTGTCTTCAGGACAGTAAGTGAAAGGAAATCTCCCCAAAGACTT